CTTGAGACCAGCTTGGAGGCCATCGCTTAAAAGAGGGCGGCGCGCATGTCAGTCCGCCCGGCGGAAGCCCAAAAGTCGCCGCTTGGGGCGCTGTTGGAGCCGTACTGAGCCCCTCTTGAGGCTCTTTTTGGGCTCTGGGGCCATCTTGGAACCGGCTTGCAACCCCCAATGCTGATCGGAAGCGGAAAGGCAAGAAGACATCAGATCAGTGGTGTTCTTCAGCTTTGGGATGGCATTGGGCCTCTCGGGGGAGCCCTTGGGTGGCAACTTGGAGCCGTCTCGAGGCGGCCTTGGAGGCATGGGAGGCTATCTAGAGATCGATCGGGGAAACGTAAGATTCGAGTACGCCGAAACTCGGATTTGCCAACGCTTTTTGACGAGCCCGTCCTGGATTTTGACGGCCCAGTTTTCGTGGGATGCTTTTGCAGCGGGAGCTCGCGTGACATTCCAGATTGGGTCGCGACGTTTCCATGACGGCCCCGTCAGGCCAACCCGAGTCCCCCTGACCCGATTCTCACGTCTCCCCGAATCCAGGGCCATTTTGGGCTGTCGTGTACCATAGCTTCCGCCTCCTCCTCCTCCTTCTCTTCCTCCTCCTCCTCCTCCTCCTCCTCCTCCTCCTCCTCCCTCCTCCTCCTCCTCCTCCTCCTCCTCCTCCTCCTCCTCCTATCCTCCTCTCCTCCTCCTCCTCCTCCTCCTCCTCCTCCTCCTCATCCTCATCCTCCTCCTCCTTTTCCTCCCTCCCCTCCTCCTCCTCCTCCTCCTCCTCCGTTTCCTCCTCTCCCTCCCCCTCCTCCTCCACCTCCTCCTCCTCCGCCGCCTCCTCCTCCGGCGGCCCGCGGGGGGGGGGGAGGGCTCCAGGCCCGGGGAGAGGGGGGGTAATTATGGGGGAGAGGCAGGACCTCCTCCTCCCCGGGCGGGGAGGAGGAGGCTGGCAGAACCTGCACACATTGCTCAGGAGGGGAAAAAACACAGCAATGAAAGAGCGCGTTCTGTGGTCGCTTGGAGGGGGGGGGTGGCACCGGACCTTCCCCCCCCTCCCCTTACCGGGGGGGGGTCGAACCCCCCCCCCCTACTTCTCCTCTCTCCCTCTCTTCGCTCTCTTCGCTGGCGGCGGGAGGGGGAGCGTCGACGGTGGTGGTGGTGGTGGTGGTGGTGGTGGTGGTGGTGGTGGTGGTGGTGGTGGTGGTGGTGGTGGGTTTTTGTGTGGTGGGTTTTTGTGGTGGTGGGTGTGGTGGTGGTGGTGGTGGTGGTGGTGGTGGCGGTGGGTGGTGGTGGTAGAGGTGGTGGTGGTGGTGGTGGTTTGTGGTGGTGGTGGTGGTGGGTGGTGGTGGGTGGTGGTGGGTGGTGGTGTGGTGGTCGTTTGTGGTGGTGGTGGTGGTGGTGGGTTGTGGTGGTGGCGGTGGTGGTGGTGGTGGTGGTGTGGTGGTGGTGGTTTGTGGTGGTTTGGTTGTGGTGGTGGTGGCGGTGGTGGTGGTGGTGTGGTGGTGGTGGTGGTGTGGTGGTGGTGGTGGTTTGTGGTGGTTTGTGGAGGTGGTGCTGGTGGTTGAAGTGGTGGTGGCGGTGGTGGTGGTGGTGGCGGTTTGTGGTGGTGGTGGGTTGTGCTGCTGGTAGTGGTGGTGGTTGTGGAGGTGGTGGTGGTTGCGTGGTAGATTGTGCTGGTGGTGGTGGTAGTGATGGTGATGGTGGTGGTGGGTTTTCGTGGTGGTGGTGGTGGTGGTGGTGGTGGTGATGGTGAGTTGCGGTGGTGGTGATTGTAGTGGTGGTGGTTGTGGTGGTGGTGGTGGTTGTGTGGTGGTTGGTGGTGGTGGTGGTGGGTTGAGGCGGCGCTGGTGGTGGTGGTGGTAGTGGTGGTGGTGGTAGTGGTGGTTATCGTCGCTGCGTCTCCGCCGTCGCCGGCGCCAGCGCCGGTGCTGCTGGCCGCCGCCGGCGCTGGCGCCAGCGCCAGGGGGAGGGGGGTGTTTGAGCCCCCCCCGCCTTCGGCGCCAGGATGGGGGTTGAAACCCCTCCCCCGTTTGCGCTGCCTCTGGTCATCGTCGCTGCGTCCCGGCCGTCGGCGCTGCTGGCGGCCGCCGGCGCCGGCGCCCGGGGAGGGAGGGAAGGGGGGTTGAACCCCCCCCCCGGGGAGGGGGGGGGGAAGGTTCGAGAGGGGGGAGGGTGGGGGTGGAGGGTGGCCACCCCCTGGTTCGAAACGCGCCGCCGAATGTTCCCAAGGCAAGCGCCCGTGAAACGCATTTTCTCGACACAATTAATCGTCGATCCCCGGGAAAATACGGGAAGTGTGGGGGACGACAAAAACCAGAAAATAAGGGAAAGCATTATTTGTGTGTCCCAGGGCCCCAATTGGAAGGGACCTCTCAAGATTTCCTCAGGCTTGCGCAGTGTGCGTGCAGGCAGCTGCGGAGCTCGGACATGCAGAAGCAAGGTGCGGACGACGCAAAGCCTTAAGAGAGCAGAACATTGACAGCGAGAGCTGATGAAATATAAGCTGGTAGCGCTCCGCGCTATGTTCTTGGATCCGCGCTGGGCTACCCCCGGCGGCGCCTCCGGCGCCGCCCCTGGCTGGCGCGCTCCGCGCGCCTGGGAGGGGGGTCCCGGCGCGGATCCGAGAAATCCGCGCGAAGCCCCAAAAGTTTATGTTTATGACGTTTTTTTCTGGACGAAGTCGCTGATGTTGGTGATGTGTTTCGTCGCGAATGCTAGGCCTGGCCTGGTGGCGTCTGGCCCTCTGGGACCCTGCCTACCCCAGATGTGCCCTTGGCGGCACAGCGGATTGAGACTGAATGCAGCATTGCGGGCCGGCCTGGGGGAGGTAAGACCTCTTCACTCCCACACTGGAGCCACTCGGGCCTTCTGGGTCTCGGGAGGGGTACTGGCTGGAAGCCGTGGGGGCCTCCTTGGATCTCCTGGGGGCACCTGGGGCCACGGGCTCTTCCAGCAGCACCCCGGCAGGAGGAGTGAGTCGAAGGTCGGGGGCTTTGAGACGGGGGTCAATGCAAACGGGGGCCAGTCGGAGCGCCGAATCTTGCAGGATCTTGCAGGGCCAGGGGTGCACTGACCCGGGCTTGGGTGCAGGGTCCTGCAGGATTTTGCAGGATCCTTCGCGTTGGTCCGGGCTTGGGTTCAGGATCTTACAGGATCTTGCAGGTCTGACTGACCCGGGTCTGGATTGACACGGGTCAGACGATTCCCGACCTTTCCCCGAGGGGGGAGCAGGAGGCTGGAAAAATTGCAGTCGAGCGTATGAGTAAGAAGCCTTGCTGACCAGGGTGGCTGGGCCCAGCCTGCCAGAGAGCTTGGCCGCGCTTCTGGCGCGCGGTCGCCCCTCCGGCGTTGACAGGGACGCTTGGCCCAGGCTTGTCTCAAGAAGCTTCCAGAAATGCGGGGCCCAACGGTATAAACCACCACCACCTCCCTCATCCCCTCCCCCAGGAAAGGGGGGAGGGAGAGGAGGGCGGAGGAGGGAGGGGGCATGGAGGTGGTGGTGGTGTATATGATTGGGGCCCGCAGGAAAGCTGGCCTTGAGCATATGCCGGGCTGCAACGCTCAGGAGGGAAAGAAACACAGACACAAGTAATCGTCGACCCCCGGAAAAAGATGGGAAACTATGGGAAGTGGGGTGGAAGACGAAAACCCAGAAGATATCTGAAAAGATGGGGGATCCTGGGATGTGTGTGTATGTGTGTGCATTTATGTGTGTGCCCCTGGGATCCTTGAAACTCGTGAAGCCACCTACACCCAGAGAGCTGCTGGGAGTTTGCCGTGCGGCGGCGGCTGGGGGCATCGGCAGCACCCCCCCCGAGGCCGGCGGCCGCTCGAGCTGTCTGGAGGGAAAAAGAAACACGGGGGTGGACAGAACCCCCAACAGTGACACGTCGATTATCGGGGGAGCGTAAGACCCGGGTTTGCCAGGACTCGGGTTCGCCATCGTTTTTTGACGACCGCGCCTCGGATTTTGACGAGGAGGAGGTTCGTGGGATGTCTGCAGCGGGAGGCCTCGTCAAAATGTAGGTTCGGCCTCGTCATTTTTTTGACGACCTCGTCGGGGATTTCCGAGTCCCCTGTACCCAGGTCTTACGTCCCCCTGAAAGAAACACGGGGGTGGACAGAACCCCCAACAGTGACACGTCGATTAGTGGATTGTCCGTTTTCGGTTCTCGAGGGGGCGCCGCGGCCGTTATTTTCCAGGCTTGCGCCCGCCAGGTTGGGGCCTCAGGTCGTTTTCACTAAACCACGTTTTACTCAAGGGAGGTCTGTCCATCCCCGAGAAACACACACTGACGCCATCAATCGCTGGTTCCCCCGGAAACATTTGGAAATATGGGGGTGGGGGGGGGGGCGAGAAGCAGAAAATGCTGGAAACTACAGGGGATCCTGGGATTTGTGTGTATTTCTGTGTGCGTCCCAAGGCCCCCTCACAGCGCTCGAAAAGCGCGCGTTCGCCTCGACGCAACAGATCGTGGGCCTCCCGCGGCGGATCTGGGCCATCTGCGAGCAGTCCTTCTGCGAGTGGTGCCACGCGCTCGTCTATATGTCTGCGCGAGGGGACCGCCCCCCCGGAAGTCCAGGCACCGCCAGCCAGGCCGCGGCGGCCAGCTTTCAAACCTCCTCCTCCTCCTCCTCCTCCTCCTCCTCCTCCTCCTCTCCTCCTCCTCCCCTCCTCCTCCCTCCTCCTCCTCCTCCTCCTCCTCCCCTCCTCCTCCTCCTCCTCCTCCTCCTCCTCCTCCTCCTCCTCCTCCTCCTCCCTCCTCCTCCTCCTCCTTCCTCCTCCTCCTCCTCCTCCTCCTCCTCCTCCTCCTCCTCTCTCGGCCTCTGGAGGCCGTGTTCCGGCCTCGGGCCGGGCAGGGAACGGCGCGGGAAGAGGAGCCGGCCCGGGGCGAAGGGGTCGAAGCCCTGGAGCCGACGTCGCGAGAGAGAGAGAGAGAGCTGCAGCGGCGGATGTGAGAGGGAAGCCTCCCTCTGGCCTCCCGGGGCGCCTCCGGGATCGCGAGCGGGGGGAGGCCATCGGCATGCGGTTCTGCAGCGTGGACATCATCGACGTGGAGTCGGAGGGCCTGATGGTCATGGAGGCGGCTGGCGGCGTGGCGGAGGGCTCGTGGCATCGCTTCTAATTTCGTGTGCATGCGTTTCCTCGGCGGGGGCCTTGGAGGCGCCTCCTCAACCAGCGGGCCACGAAGAGAACACGCAGGAAACCGAAGAGCATGCACAGGGGATGGTCGTCCGAGCGACGGCGAGGGAGGGAGGAGGCTGGAGACCATGGGGAGGAGGAGCAGGGAGGACGGGGCAGGGGGAGCAGGAGGCGGGGCGAGGGGGGGAGGCAGCGCGGAGGAAGGGGGATACGGGGGGATCGGGGATCTTCTGACACGGGTCAATCCAGACCCGGGTCAGCAGGAAACCAAACATTGCAATGCAGGAAAAAGAGGTTCCAACGCAGGTCTTCGCAAACCCGGGTCAGCCAATATGCGCGGCCGCCTCGCGGCCACGAGCGGCTCGCTCACCCGGGTCAGCCAGAGGGGGTCTTCGCAGGATCTTGCAGGATTCGGTGCCTTGGCTGACCCCCGTTTGCATTGACCCCCGTCTCTTGAGCCACGAGGGGAGAGGGAGAAGCGCGAAAGGAAGGCGAGGGAAGGAGGAGGGAGGAATGAGGAGTGAGGTCGCTTGTCCCCTGCTGCCTCTCTTCCGTGTTTCTCGTTGCCGTTCTGTTCCCGCCTTGTTTGGGAGCGTGCGGGGGACTCTGGAGGATGCGTGTGCGCCAGGTGCGGGAGGTTCCAACGCAGGTCTTCGCAAACCCGGGTCAGCCAATATGCGCGGCCGCCTCGCGGCCACGAGCGGCTCGCTCACCCGGGTCAGCCAGAGGGGGTCTTCGCAGGATCTTGCAGGATTCGGTGCCTTGGCTGACCCCCGTTTGCATTGACCCCCGTCTCTTGAGCCACGAGGGGAGAGGGAGAAGCGCGAAAGGAAGGCGAGGGAAGGAGGAGGGAGGAATGAGGAGTGAGGTCGCTTGTCCCCTGCTGCCTCTCTTCCGTGTTTCTCGTTGCCGTTCTGTTCCCGCCTTGTTTGGGAGCGTGCGGGGGACTCTGGAGGATGCGTGTGCGCCAGGTGCGGGATGGGGGGGGGGAAACGGGGGAGAGGCAAGGGAAGGAGGGAGGAGGCGGGATGGAGGAGGCGCTGGTGGGGCAAACACCAGCGTTGGCGCCCCCAAGGGCTGGTGGGAGCTGGCAGGAGCTGGAGGGGCAAGCAAGCGTTGGTGCCACGTCGTGTTGGTGTCAAGCAGCGACTATCAAAGTCCAGAGGCAATGGCGAGAGGCAGCCATGCAAATCAGGAGATGTCTGACGTGTGGGCGGCTTATGCTAAGACAGGAGAGGGGGCTTATTCCGTGCAAACATCGGTTGGGAGAAATGCAAGGCCTTACGGCCCGTGCCGCCGACCCAGATGGACGGCGACGACGACCACGACGACAACGACAACGACGAGCTGATGACTCTGCCACAGGCTCGGGACAAAGGGCGGGCGGTGGAGGGAGGAGGAGGAGGAGGAGGAGGAGGAGGAGGAGGCAGCTTCCTCCGCACCGACGGGCGACCGTAATTTGTCGCCAAGGTGACCTAGGCCGGTTCGCGTGTGTTTTATTTGTCACGCACAGACGCGAGCAGTGTTCCTGAAGTTTGCTGGACGTTCAAAGAGGAAGAGGAGGAGGAGGAGGAAAAGGAGGAGGAGGAGGAGGAAGAGGAGGAGGAGGAGGAAGAGGAGGAGGAGGAGGAAGGAAGGAGGAGGAGGAAAGAGGAGGAGGAGGAGAGGAAAGAGAGGAAAGAGGAGAGGAGGAGAGGAGGAAAAGGAGGAGGAGGAGGAGGAGGAGGAGGAGGACGAGGAAGAGGAGGAGGAAGAGGAGGAAGAGGAGGAGGAGGAGGAGGAGAAGGAGGAGGAGGAGGAGGAGGAGGAAGAGGAGGAGGAAGAGGAGGAGGAAGAGGAGGAGGAGGAGGAGGAGGAGGAGGCGTGCGCTCATGGAGCTGCTCGGTCGAGACGGCACCGACCGGGCAGACCGCCGGCGTCCCCGTGCAGGGCCCTCTGCTGCTCAAGAGCCCGGGGCGCGGTCCGCGCTGGTCTCGGGGGAGCCTCGGCGCTCCCTGGTCGAAGAGCCAAAATCGGGGCATGGAGGAGGTGGTGGTGTATATGATTGGGGCCCGCAGGAAAGCTGGCCTTGAGCATATGCCGGGCTGCAACGCTCAGGAGGGAAAGAAACACAGACACAAGTAATCGTCGACCCCCGGGAAAAGATGGGGGAAGTGGGGCGGAAGACGAAAACCCAGAAGATATCTGAAAAGATGGGGGATCCTGGGATGTGTGTGTATGTTTGTGTGCATTTATGTGTGTGCCCCTGGGATCCTTGAAACTCGTGAAGCCACCTACGCCCAGAGAGCTGCCGGGAGTTTGCCGTGCGGCGGCGGCGGGGGCATCGGCAGCACCCCCCCGAGGCCGGCGGCCGCTCGAGCTGTCCAGAGGGAAAAAGAAACACGGGGGTGGACAGAACCCCCAACATCGGGCCGGGCGAAAAGGGAGGGATAGGGAAAGGGGGGGTTACGAAATTTGCTGCATGTGGCTGGTTTCGGCCCCACCGAGGGGCCCATTCCTCGATACCTGGCCGCCTCCGGCGCCGGGAGGCGCCGGGAAAATCAGCTACGTGAGCTGATTCTCAAACCCCCCTTTGCTATCCCCCCTTTCGCCCGACCCGACAAAAGAACTGCGTGTTCCGGAACTCGTGGAAGCGTCACGCGGAGCTCCAGCAGCCTGCGCACACGTTTTGCTCCTCCGATCTCGGGTCTCCCGGCGGTCCCGGTGCATCTGGGCTCCATTGGAGCCCAGAGAATCGAAGAAGAGAAAGCGGCATAAACCATCTCCGGTTGCGAGGAGGAGGAGGAGGAGGAGGAGGAGGAGGCGCCTCGCGGGGGCAGCGCGTGCTCTTCGGAGAGCGAGGACGCACGCCGCCGTTCCAGCGCCAGCCTTCCTCATCCTCCTCCTCCTCCTCCTCCTCTTCCTCCTCCTCCTCCTCCTCCTCCTCCTCCTCCTCCTCCTCGTGCCCCTCCCGTGCGGATTTCTTGGATCGGCGTTGGGGCTCCCTGGCGCCGCCCTTGGCGCGCTCCGCGCGCAGGGGGGGGGGGATTCAGCTCAGATCCAAGACATCCGCGCGGAGCTCCAAGAATCTCTGCTTACGCCTCCTCCTCCTCCTCCTCCTCCTTCTCCTCCTCCTCCTCCTCTCTCCTCCTCCTCTTTTCCTTCTCCTCTCCCTCTCCTCCTCCTCCTCCTCCTCCTCCTCCTCCTCCTCCTCCTCCTCCTCCTCCTGCCTACGCCGCTGCATGCTCCTCCTTTAAGAAGGAGCACCGGTCCCTGCCGAGTGCCCCTTGGGCCAAAGCTGGGACTGTACACCTGGAGCTCGCCTGGAGGCCGACTTCGGAAGAGGAGGAGGAGGAAGAGGAGGAGGAAGAGGAGGAGGAGGATGAGGAGGAGGAGGGAGGAGGGAGGGAGGAGGAGGGAAGAGGGAGGGAGGAGGAGGGAGGAGGGAGGAAGGGAGGGGGAGGGGGAGGAAGGGCAGGAGGGGGAGGGGGGAAGGGGGGAGGGGGAGAGGGAGAGGAGGAGGAGAGGGAGGAGGAGGAGGGAGAGGATGAGGAGGAGGAGGAGGGGGGAGGGAGGAGGAGGGAAGAGGGAGGGAGGAGAGGGGATGAGGGAGTGGGGAGGGGGAGGAGGGGGAGGAGGGGGATGGGGGCAGGATCAAGCTAGGTGCGCTCGCGTCATATCTGACATCCTAACCCCTCCCTCCCATCCCTTACCATTGCGTAGATCCCCTCTCTACTCGCACAGTCGGATGTCGAGCAGGGCAATAATCCCGAAAGGGTACGCGATGCATTGTAGAGCACGGCATGGCATGGCGTAGAAGAGCACCACAAAGCGTAGTATGTCACAGCATGGCGTGGCGTGGCGTAGTGAAGAATTGCATCACAAAGCTTTGCAACGCAAAGCATGGCATCGCACAGCGGCCCCGAACATAACGTTGCATAGCATGGCGTTGAAGATCAAAGCGTAGCATGGCATCGCACGACGTGGCACTTAAGCACTGCATATCACAGCTTCAGCTGAAGGCATGGCATCGCGCAGCGGAACGCAACCTAGCATTGCATTGCATGCCGTGGCATGGCACGGGAAATGACGCCAGCGCTGCAGCGGGAGCACGATTCGGAACGAGCGGAAGCGCGCCCCGCCGCCTTTGAGAGGGCCTCCTCCTCACTTCCCCCCGCGCTCGCCGACGACAGGCAAAACAAACACGAGCAGGGAACGCCGAGGGAGAAGCCGAGGCCCCGCGGAGGGGGCGGGGCCGCGGACGAGGCGGCGGTGCTGAGAGCGCTGGGCCGGTAGGGCCGGCGCCCCGCTCGGCGCACAGCAGCGAGGGCAAGAAAAGCCGCCGCCCAGGACAAGCGAGGGGGGCAGGCAGGCTTCGCTCCTGGGACAGGTCGGCCGTCCAGGGCGCGTTCGAGGAGGGAGGAGGAGGATGGAGGTGGAGGAGGAGGAGGAGGAGGAGGAGGAGGAGGATCAGAGGAGGAGAAGGGGGAAAAAAAATAAGAACGGAGGGGAAGGGGAGGAGGAAAGAGGAGGAAGGGGAGGGAGAGAGGGGATGAGAAGGAGGTCCCGATCTGTGTCAGACTCGGTGCCGGGGTTTTTATTGTTTGCATTCGCCTCTGCCCCTGGAGACATAAGGACTTCTGGGGGGGGGGGGGGGTCCCGAGTCCCTGAGCTTTCTCCTCAGTCCCCTGAAGGCGCCCCCCTCTGTCCGGCCAAGCCCAGATATTGGCCTGGCGCTCGCTTGACCACAAGGACTTGACCCTCTTCCTCCTCCTCCCTCCTCCTCCTTCCCCTCCTCCTCCTCCTCCTCCTACCTCCTACCTCCTCCTCCTCCCCCTCCCTCCCTCCCTCCCCTCCCCTCCCTCCCTCCCTCCCTCCTCCCTCCCTCCCACCCTCCTTTTCCTCTTCCTCCTCCTCCTCCTTCTCCCCCTCCTCCTCCCCTTCCTCCTCCTCCTTCTCCTCCTCCTTTCCTTTTCCTTGTAAATAGCTTCTCGCTGTCGCACCCCGAGGTAAGTTTTTAGGGCGGTCCAGGCGTTTCGCAGGAGACTTCTTCACCATGTGTGACCCTGAAACTTAAAAGTTGACAACCTTTTTACAGATGGAGGGCGGGTGATGTTCAAAATGTGGCTCTCGCACTAGCGCCACTCGCATTTGTTTTACACATGTGCAAGAGCTTCACGGATTGAGGGCGGGTCGTTTTCAAAATGCTGTTCTTACCTTAGCGCCGTGCGCATTCGTTTCGAAATATTGCAAGAGTTTCACGGATTGAGGGCGGGCCGTTTTCAACATGTGGATCTCGCCCTAGCGCCGCGCACATTCGTACTAAAGGTGTGCAAGAGGTTCACGGATTCAGGGGGGTCTTTTTCAACATGTGCTTCTCGCTTTAGCGTTGCGCACATTCGTCTTTCTTATGTGCAAGAGTTTCACGGATTCCCACGATCAGCGTACCAGAAATGGTGTGTCGGAAGGATTCAGGAGCATGAGGGCGCAACAGTTACGTTGATTCGCGGTGTTGAAGTCCCAGGATGGCGTTCTGGTACGAGTCAGGATCGTCAAGACGAAAAAGTCAGGTTGATCCGTGGCGTTGGAATCCCGAGCAAGATGTTTTGCATGAATCAGTGTTTTCAAACGGTTGTCTTCCAACGAGGCAGTTCCCTCAGTGGACATGAACCTTTGTGGGGGCTTATTAAGAAGAAGCTTGGAGGGAGGGTCTATTCCAACATCGTTGGTAACTCTTGGGTTTACACTGGCCCTCCTCCTCGTCCTCGTCCTCCTCCTCCCCCTCATCCGCCTCTTCCTCCTCCTCCTCCTCCTCCATTCCTTTTCCTTATAAATAACTTCTCCCTGTCGCACCCCGAGGCAAGTTTTTAGGGCGGTCCGGTCGTTTCGCCTGAGACTTCCTCACCACTTATGATCTGAAGTTTTATCATTGACAACAGCTTCACAGATGGAGAGCGGGTGGTTTTCAGAGTGTGGCTCTCGCCTTAGCGCCGCGCACATTCGTTTAAAAGCATTTCAAGAGTTTCACAGATTGAGGTTCGCGGACTCAGGGAGGGTCCTTTTCAACATGTGGTTCTCGCTCTCGCGCCGGGCACATTCGATTTTAACACCTGCAAGAGTTTCACGGATTCCCACGATCAGCGTACCAGAAATGGTGTGTCGGAAGGATTCAGGATTATGAGGGCGCAGCAGCTACGTTGGTTGATTCGCGGTGTTGAAGTCCCAGGAATGGCGTTCTGGTACGAGTCAGGATCGTCAATACGCAAAAGTCAGGTTGATCCGTGGCGTTGGAATCCCGAGCAAGATGTTTTGCATGAGTCAGTGTTTTCAAACGGTTGTCTTCCAACGAGGCAGTTCCCTCAGTGGACATGAACCTTTATGGGGGCTTATTAAGAAGAAGCTTGGAGGGAGGGTTGATTTCGACATCGTTGATGATTCTCGGGTTTACATTGGTCCTCCTCCTCCTTCCTCTCCTCCCTCTCCTCCTCCTCCTCCTCCTCCTCCTCCTCCTCCTCTTCCTCCTCCTCCTCCTCCTCGTCTTCCTCCTCCTCCTTCTCTTCCGCCTCCTCCTTCTCCTCCTGCTCCTCCACCTCCCCCTCCTCCTTGTTCTCCACCTCCTCCTCCACCTCCTCCTCTTCATCCCTCTTCTCCTCCTGTTCCTCCTCCTCCTCCTCCTCCTCCTCTTCCCTTCCCCCTCCTCCTCTTCCTCCTCCTCCTCCTCCTCCGCCTCCTCCTCCTCCTCTCGTGGACAGCCGATCCGATCCGACCCACTGGGCAAACTCTCTCGGACCTCTGGTGGCGTCCGCGCAGGGCTGCCGGGGCAGCTACCATGGCGGCCAGGGCGCTCACAGCATCGCCCCCGCGGATAGTATACGTCGTCACCCTCGGCGCGAAGCGATGCCGCGGCCCCCCCGTGGGCACAGAGGTTGCCGGCGGTTGCCATATTGATCCGTCTTCCTCCACGCCCTCCTCCTTGGCTGGCGTTCCGCACGGCGCAGTCCCCATCCCCTGGGTGGGGAAGCTGACAGTTCTCGTGGTCCACGTTGCGAAGAGAGGGAGGGGGATTTGCTCTGATGCCGCGGGCCGAGAGTAGACAGAGGAAGTGAGGCCATATTGGAGAGATTGGGGAGAAAGCAGACAGTAGAAAAGGGATAAGAGTCAGCTGCCAGGCAGCGCTCTAGCGATTAGCGAATCGGGTTGTCAATGTGATTGCGCGTGTCAGTGCTGTGCAAATGAAGCTTGAGAGCCATTGGGTAGTCACAGGGGAAATACAAGGAAGGCACAGGGTAACAATAATCTGGCAAGAGGATGCGACGTACCCATGGGGTGGCCGAAGTGCATTCCAGGGCCAGGTTCCTGACTAAAACAACGGTGAGGTAGCCATGAGGCGACCAAGAACACAACGAAGTTGTCATGGCTGACTGAAAGCTGTTCTTCTGAGGAAGTAAGACGCACCGTGATGAGGCTACCAGATGGCAGCGGTCGATTTTCAGCCTCGCCATCAGGGCGCCTTCGGCGTTGGGTACAACGAACTGAGCAGACGAGGCGGTCGAGGAGGAGAGAGTGGGGAGGACCGAGGGGGAGGGAAGGAGGAGCAGCGGCAGCAGCATGAGAGAGGTAGGAGGAGGAGGAGGAGGAGGAGGAGGAGGTGGATGAGGAGGAGGAGGAGGAGGAGGAGGAGGAGGAGAAGGAGGAGGAGGAAGAGGGGGAGGAGGAGGAGGGAGGAGGAGGAGGAGGAGGAGAGGAGGAGAGCAGCAGCAGCAGCAAGCAGCAGCATGATGAGAGAAGTAGGAGGAGGAGGAGGAGGAGGAGGAGGAGGAGAAGGACGAGGAGGAGGGGGAGGAGGAGGAGCAGCAGGACGAGGAGGAGGACGAGGAGGACGAGGAGGAGGAGTCTGGCCTGGAAGCCGCCGCGTGCTCGCGACCCCCCTTCGGGAGCAGCGGCGCGGGCGAGCGAGCGGCGGAGGGCGGCCGCGGCGGGAGGCCACGCCTCTCGTGACCGGCGGGGCCGGCTCGCAGCAGCTGCGCGCTCTGAGGCCTGCGTTGGTGAGAGGGCTCGGCTTGTCCTCCGCCTCCTCCCTCCTGTCCTCTGCCTCCTCCCTTCTGTCCTCCTGTCCTCCTCCCTCCTGTCCTCCTGTCCTCCTGTCCTCCTCCCTCCTGTCCTCCGCCCTCCTGTCCTCCTGTTCTCCTCCCTCCTGTCCTCCTGTCCTCCTCCTGTCCTCCCTCCTGTCCTCCTATCCTCTTCCCTCCTGTCCTCCTGTCCCCCCTCCTGTCCTCATGACCTCCCTCCTGTCCTCCTGTCCTCCCTCCTGTCCTCCTGTCCTCCCTCCTGTCCTCGTCTCCTCATCCTCTCTCTCTCTCTCTCTCTCTTTATCTCTCTCTCTCTCTCTCTCTCTCTCTCTTTCTCTCTTTCTCTCTCTCTCTCTCTCTCTCTCTCTCTCTCGAAGAGGAAGACGAAGAGGAAGAAGAAGAAGAAGAAGAAATAATTGCATAAGCATAGGCTTTCGGAGCTCCCCGCAGATCTCTTGGATCTCCGTTTGGGCACCCCTGGCGGCGCGTGCGGCGTTGCCCCTGGCTTGCTCCGCGCGACAGGGAGGGGGTGCCAGCGACGATCCGAGAAACTTGCGCTGACCTCTTGTTACGTATATGCAATTGTTTGTTCCTTTTCTCCTCCTTTCTCCTCCTCCCCCTCCTCCTCTTCCTCCTCCTCCTCCTCCTCCTCCTCCTCGTCCTCGTCCTCGCTCCATGGTCGGACCCAGACGGCCACGAGAGAGTGAAGCTGTCCGCCTTCGTTGAAGCCCTTGAGCGAGCGCCAGGACAAAAATGTTGACGCTCCGCGCATCCCCACCAGCGGGCAGGTCCTCCAGAGAGTTCGCAACCTTCCTCCCATTGACAGCCTCAGCGACGCCGCCAGACGGCACCGACTAAACGAGAACGGTGCCAAAGCGCTGACCGCCACCATCCGACACCACGTGACGATAGCACATGGACCCCCAGGGACTGGCAAGACTTTAGTCACGGTGGCCACCATGGACTCATGGACTAGTTCGCTTCCTGCGAGGCAATCTGTGGCCCTCACGGCCGGATCGAACACGGCAGCCGATCAGCCTGCCATCGGGCTCGGGATTGCGCGCGAGGGGAATAGACTGGCTGGCGATACCTGCTTTCCCAACAGGTGTGTAAGGCTCGCAAAGGACGCCCGAGTGGCGCCTAAGATTGCGTCCCTGACCCCAATGGGACACGCTCAGAGGACCCATGACCGCCCTCCCAAGCAGAATGGGCCGTCCAAGAAGCTCCTGTCCTTCCGTTCTCAGCTGATAAGCGACGCCAAGCTGATTATCGCTACCCACGAGGCGGCAGAGTCGCTCAAGCCTCTGCTCATCATCGAAGAGGCGGGACAGGCCCA